CACACACACACACACACACACACACACACAGAGGACATAACTACCAACATTTCACCTCAGAATCATTTTATTTTGCACTACCCTGACTGAGAAGTTAAATAAATACAAATCACAAGCTTGAACTTTTATACATGAACACAAACACTTTTTAAAATGAGATTAAAAAAAGAAAAGCTTTAAAATGTAAGTTAAGTTAGATTTCGGTGAATTTGTGTTTTTTTAAATACTGTCCATAGACTTTCTCTATTTGTTGTTGGTGACAGGAGGCAGATATACCAGCTCTACAGATAAAGCTTCTTTCAATGTCTTTCTTTAAATGTCTCTCTCTCTATCCCCTCTCTCTCTCTCTCACAGACACACACACATACACACTGGAGAATAAATCACATTTGCTCTCCCCTGAAACGTATCAGTGGGTATAAACCAAAATGACAGGAAGCAAATGAAAATATAACGTACGGCATCACAGAGGGACAATTTCCAACACGCATGCAGAGTTGATAATAGAAAATATTCATTCTTATGAGAGCGGGGGGGGAGAGGGGAGAAAGACTGCCCCGTGCCTTTGAATGAAAGAGAGGGAAGGAGGATTTTCGAAGGAAAATGAGCACATGGTCGAATACCCACGATGAAGAAAGATTATAAAAACGTGTGATAAACTGTGCTGTGAACAAAACAGGAGGCGCAGAGAGAAAAACTAAATTCAAGGGACGGGGATGAAGAGAGAGAGAGAGAGAAGAGGGTGGGAGACGAGTCATGAAGGAAAGAGATGGGAGGAGCAGGAAAAAGAGAATAAAAGGAGAAAAGATGATGAGAATGAAACACAATGTGGACTAAATAGAGGGAGTATGAGGGGGAGATTAAAGAAGAGAAAAAAGGGGAGAAGACGGAAGAGGGAAAGGGTCTGGAAGAAGATTCTCATCCACACATAAAGACACAAACTGCGTCCAGACATGAACTCAGGGAAAGGTCCAGACAATTTGTCGTCCGCACATTCTGGAGTTTGACTTTCATATCTGAGGAAGCACCAGTTCATTCATCAACAGGAGCACGCGGGAAACATTCAGGTGAGGGGGAGGATTCTTACGGTTCTGCAGTTGTTAGAAACCTCGTCAACTCGCCCACTGTATTCTCACAATTCAAGAAGACTCAGATGTTCGTGTTCTCACATTCAGACCCTTCTCACAAATTCTTCATGCAAATGACTTGATTTCTGACATTAGATCAAACCTCTCGGTAATTGAGCCTTTGACCATTTTACTTTGGTGCAATTAAAAACACTTTCGTTCAAAATGTCCTTCCCATCATGCACTTGACACAAAAGTCAAGGATGCACCCAGTATGTGGAGCCATGTTTCTCTTGCATTAAACCCCCGCTCTCTCTGAGTTACTACTCACCAGTTACATCCTGGGGTCACAGGCAGATTTTATTAGACCTATTACGTGTGTGCTCAGCGACAGACCTTTTACCTTCTCACTAATAGCTGCTTGTAATGTTGTCTGTGGGAAGACTGATGCCTGTTTTACTGTTGTTCTCATTATGAACCTCTTTGTGTGTCAGCGTTTGTATTCACCTCATATTCCTCCTTGAAACCGTAGCCCTGTCCACATTTCATCTGGGTGATGTGTTGGAGGAGGTCGGCGACTCGAATAGCCGGCTGGAACTGGCCGGCCTGGAACTGACCTGCAGGAACGTAAACAGAGAGAGGGATGGAGATGTAAACGGGAGGAGAGACAGACGCTGTCAGTGTGTGGGAGAAGCAGCGTGGGCCAGGAGATGGATGGATCTTTAGAAATCATGACACCAAATTGCCGTTCTAATCGCTGTTCGTGATGTGAATTCCTTTTCAAGCTAAATTACCAAATTAGGGTCAGTCAATAAAACCACAGAACCAACGCAGCAAAGTATCGATTTATCTTTAGAGGTAATAAAATGTTTAGCTAATTCGCTGTTTTCGTGACGACTTCAGTCTATTAACAACAACAAAGTCAAATAACCAACTGACTTTGGATTTTACTGACTTATTCTGCATATAACTAACTTGTTTTGTTCATCTGATGGTTATAGTTAACTAATAAACGTGTGTTTCTCATCCTTGACTCACCACATGGCAAATAATGAACTGACTAACGAGGCTGAAGTTCTAATTAAATGCTAATTAAATGACCAACTGTGACTCGACTTCTTAACGAACTTTGTGTCTTTGCTTTGACACACAACTGTTTAACAGGACACACAACTCGTGCTACACTTCACATTCAGGGTTTTTCTTTTTAAATACGTCGTCTGTGTGAAGTGTGAATCAGTAAAGTACTTATCCGTAACTAACTGACTGACCAGCGGACACGTAAACAAACACAGCCACTGACTGAAAAACGCCATTCCCTGGTTCTGTATCTTCTTTCAAGAGGATTAGGAACAAAGTAAAAACTAAATATTGTATGAATCTGTAAATTCACATGATTTCGTTTTAATAGTTTTCACTTTTACACAATTCTGTGTAAAATAAATGATCAGAGAAAAGGGTCTTCGTCCTTTTTGAGAGGATAAACATCATCATCATCATCAGAGTGACTCCCGGGTTCAGGCTTCATCCGTCCATCGAGCAGTCATATCGTCCATCTCCATACGCAGTCCATGTTCCGCACGGTTATAACATGTTGAAGTATTTAATCAATACTTTACTCCTTCTGAGTAGTCTCACAGAATAAAGTAATACCTAACTAACGAAGGGACCAACTAGTTACCTCCCTTGTCGAGTGACTGACTAACCCACCACTTAACAAAGTGATTTCCGAACACGTACCACTCTGGTAGGAGAGCTCCACTGACTCACAGCCTCCGTAGGGGAAACTCTGCAGGGTCAGAGACGGCTGGGAGAGCGATGGCTGGCTGCTGTCTGTAAGGAGAGAGAGAGAGAGAGAGGAGTATGTTACCATGACAACACACCTCCCATCCATGACAGCCCACCGTGTACCCTGACACACACACACACACACACACTGACTCTGCAGCACAGGTGAGAGAAGATTGGTCACCGAAGACAACTGATGACTTAAATTATTCACTTACCACCCTGAGCCCTGATTGGTGGGCATGATGGGAAACTTAATTGGAATATCTCTCCTCCGATTAAAGGATGGACAGATTGATTGGATGAGTGTATTGGATGTTTATTAGCCGGAGCAGATGGAGGGATACATGGTGTACCCTCTGCAGAGGAGCTGGTACTGTTTCTTGGTCCCCAGTAGCTCAAAGTTAAAGGCCTTTTCCAACTTCGCAGGGGATTCGGAGTAGAACCACANGGGGGGGGGGGGGGGGGGGGGTTCAGGGGACCGAGAGAAGGAACGGCACGTCAAGAGCTCGCATCACATCATGGAGAAATTTTTTTTCCATTTCTTTTAAACTGTGAAATTTTAGCGAAAGATGTGGAAGTAATGATTGTTGCATTTACATTTTTTTTACATTTGTATAAATGTTTAGAGAAACACAGCGACTGAGAGAAGATGACGACGTGGGAAGATTAACAGCTGTTTTAGTTTTATATTGTTCGACAGTCACAGAATCTGACTGTGTGAATACGGCTTCTGAAAACCAGCCAGAGTCGCTGAAGTGTGAGCGAGAGTGTGTTTGTGTTTCTGAAGGGAAAGGGTTTGTTATATAAAACTGCACAACTATGTTTTCTTAATAGAGCTATTTGCATGTTAATGACGGCTGTGGATTCATTAGCGGCCTAAAGTGGCTTCTCCATAAGCCAATCTAAACACTGGCTTCCCTAAATGAATGAAGAATGAGCCGGCCACATGGGTCACTGCTGCGTGTGTGTGTGTGTGTGTGTGTGTGTGTGTGTGTGTGTGTGTGTGTGTGTGTGTGTGTGTGGTCAGGAGAACGGACACAAGGAGGATAAAACCATTTACAATGAGCGATTTGCATAACTGACAAGTTGCTTCCTGAGATTAGGAAGTGATAAAAGAACAGAATGAGAAGATGATGGAGAGAATAAAAGGAGATGAAATGAGGAGGAGCTGATGAAAGGCGAGAGGAAACAGGAAGCAGAAAGGAGGAGAGAGAGAGGGCCTGAACAGAGCTAAAGAGAGAACAGGTGTAAAGAGTTGAGGAGAGAAGAGGAGCTGCAGAGGTCAGGACAAACACAAACTGCGTGTCCAGTGAAACAGAACCGGGTCGCACCCTGAACTCCTCCCGTCTCCCCAGAACCGTTCAGCTGAGAATTTACTCCCGCGCCTCCTCTCATCACATAAATCTACATTAACTCCTGTCGTCCTCTTCTCCCATACGTTCTATAAAACTCAGGACGCAACCCCATTCTGCTGCTAGTCCTTTACTTTGTGAAATACGACTTAAAATAGCATTTGACCACTGTCTTTACACGCTCACTGCAGAGACAGAGGAGGAGACAGAGGAGGAGACAGAGGAGGAGACAGAGGAGGAGACAGAGGAGGTTCAGGGTGTTTTGGTAAAGATTAAATCAAATGTCCATCACGTCTCTTTTCATTATAAACGAGTGTGATAAGAACTTTATCCAGCAGGGATTTGAATGTTTTAGCTTGGTCCATGTCCCGTCCACTAACATAGAGGAGGTGGAGTTTATGACCTACAATGCAGACAGCCACCAGGGGGCGATTGAGACGCTTTTTGGGAGAGTTGTCCTGTCATTCATCATCAAATTTAAAGTCAATGGTTCACATGAATGCTTTAGGCTGACACCGCTTCACCGTACACACTCACAGAATAACGCAACAAACACACACAGACCACAGCACTCACACAAAGCTATCACAGACAATTACAGACACACAAAAGAAATGCACACGCAAACATCTGTCACACACTCTCTCAAACATCCCCGGCTGCCTTCAAGTTCACAGGATTGTCTGAATGACAACGTGCAGGTCTTATACTGTATACACTTGGGCCAGATAAGTGTGTGCACGTGACTGCTTACCTTTTACTTTGTCTATTTGTGTGTCTGTGTGTGTGTCTGTGTGTGTGTGTGTGTGTGTTAAGCTCACCAAGGTCAAATATGCATGAAGCCAAGCATGAAATGGAGTCAGAGCAGCAGCTCCACAACACTGACTATGATGAAGACATCTCAATGCTAATGGGAAGATTTATTGACCCTACAGTCACAGGGTTGTGTGTGTGTGTGTGTGTGTGTGTGTCAGTGTAAGACAGAGTCATCGTTTCAGAAAGACACAAGTGTGTTGGGAGTTCTTTGCATGTGTGTGTGTGTGTGTGTGTGTGTGTGTGTGTGTACAGTATATACGTTGTCAGTGAGTGTGTCAGTTAATTCAGTCCTTCATGCTTGGCAGTGTGCTGTATAAAGTTCCCTCCTCCCACCTTGTGACTTTATTAAGACTCAGTAATGGATGACTTTGACTCCTGACAACACAGTGTCACTGTGTTCACTGTCGACTGCTCGTACACAACACGTTTTATACGTCACGCCCATTTCCTCTGTTGTAGAATATAATCAAACAGATGCTCTTTGGTGACAGTGTGTAACAATCAAGTCATTTTGAGGTTACAATCAACCCGAAAGCCCCAAATGTTTTATTATTCATTTGGATTTTTTACAGATCCTATTCGATGTATCGTGCCACGTAATCACAGATTCAAAATGGAACGGCAAAACAGTTGAGTTATGTTCAAGACTTGATTTTAAATTGCAGCTTCCAGCTTGTTAGGAGTGAATGTTTTCTGCTTGATCCAATAAAAAAAAAAAAAATCACGGTTAAATCCAGTCTGACGACAGAACGTCTGTATTTACGTCACCGTCGTCACAGGGTCGTCTCTGCCTCTCTCATGACCAGAGTCCTCTACTGCTCTCTACACAGGTTATCACTCATGTTTCCCTGCATCAGTGTCACTCGGTCCACAGTGGTGCTGTCTTCAGGACCTCGACAGTGAAATCTATTAATAAGATAAAAGATTATTCTAAATATTACACATGGCACTATTAAAGGTCCAGTGTGTAAGATTGAGGTGAAAGGGAACTACTGGCAGAAATCTAATGTAGAATAATCCTCATGATGTTTTCACGAGTTCGTTTCATCTAAATCATATGAATTGTAGTTTTCTTTACCCCAGAAAAGGCCCTTTATATTTAAATACTTTATGTTTAAATACTTTATATTTACATGGAGGGGACCCTCTCTACGGAGGCCGTAAAAAAATCTACACACTGGACCTTTAAGAGAATCTAATGTGCTGCATTAATTCATACATCTGTCGTGAAAGTAATATTCTTATTGGCTCCGGAGGTGACAGCTCACAACAGATCACAGCCACAAGTTGACAGAGAATGAACTTGGTCTTGAAAGGCAGATAAAATTATCTGCAAAACCTTTGGACATCCATGGACAAAAATGCATGACTGGTGAGTTTCTCTCTCTCTCTCTCTCTTTCTCTCTCTCACTCTGTCTTTCTCTGAAGCACAAGGTCAAGTTCAACTTCATTCCAGGCCGGCTGCAGCACAGCCAGGCCGCTGCAATTCTCATCGGTATGGATGAAAAATTGCCCTGATATTTGAAACACATTAGAGGCTGTGGTGGAACACTGAGCTGCTAGCATAAAAAAAAAAGATGGAAAATACAAAGTGCAGCTGAGCTGTTGTCCAGCGGAGGAAGAGGAGGAGGAGGGAGGTGACAAAGGAAAGGTGGAGAACGAAGGGATGGAATCCAGAAGAGAGGAAAATGAAAACGAATAAAAACATGTTTGAGAGGAGATGATAGACACAGCGAACATTTGTCGAAAGTAATACTCATTCTGTCATTTGAAAGAGAAATATTTGTACTTATTTTTTGCACAAAAACTAAAGATATACAGAAAAAAATAAAGGAACTTTTACGCGACATTATAGAATAAGGTTAGTGATATAACTCAATTTGTCTATTTTACATCTAGTGTCTTTATTTTCTACTTCATCCCCCCAAAGCACATGTTTAAAATACGTTTTGCAGTGTATTATTAAAGTACAAGCTTTGTATATGTTGTGTATTATTTCACACATTTGAAGTATTTCATCTCTGTACATGAGGCCTTCACCCATTTATGAAAGATGAAGACCGATGGAAGCGTCGAGAACAAATATCGAGGAGAAAAAGGGAGAGTGGTGTTAAAGCAAGAGGAGAGGAGCTGAAGGGAGTAAAACGAGTAAAGGAAGAAGAGAAATGTAGGAAAAAGGTAGAAAAAAATTAAACATTCTCCAGTAAACTTCTTAGAACAACTCTACGTAATTGCTTTCCAGTGTTCAGGTTGTGTTTGTAGATTCAGCTCGCACAGTTTGAAAAGTGAATTTCAAACGGGGAGAGTCGGAGGAGAGGACAGATGGAACGAGAGACAAAACACAGACAAAAAGACAGATGAGGCGGAGGAAGCTAGCAGTCGCATTACGGAGGAAATAAATGGAGGAAAACGATGGAGCGGCAGCAGAATCTGGACTGTGGGTCACACAGATCAACTGGTCTAGACAGAATCCCAGCGGCTCACCTCATTTCACCCCTCTTCCCCTGACGACAGGAGAGAAATCACTGACTCACACAGTCCAGACCACAGTGTGTGTGTGTGTGTGTGTGTGTGTGTGTGTCAGATATACGTGTAACGGCTACAGGTGGAAGAAAAGCCGCTTCCTTTGAAACGTCCAGAGTTGAACAGTGTGCGTAGGTGGATGTTGAGCTTCTTGCGCTGCAAAGTCACAAGCAGCAACACAACAGTCAGACAGCTCCGCAGGAGAGTTTCCTATTTAACACAAAGACGTCTTATCTCGATAGTGAGGAGCAGGGAGACACGAAAGGAACGAGATATTTCTCTCTGCTAAGAAACAAGGATTCACTATCGTCTGTTTGCCTCCAGCTGCTCAGTGTTGCCAACGACTATCTGGTACATGAAGACAATTAAAAGAGACGTGAGGGATTAAAGTAATAATTTGCAATAGTTTCTTGTAAAGTAATGTCTTTTTTTTCTTGCTATGGAAAAACACAACACATGTTCCTTCTTTTTTCTGCCGTTTGGTTTTTACTCTCACTCTCCTCGTGTGAAATACCAGACCAATGTTTATTTGATTTCTATCAGTCCCGTGTGTTTTTGGGCAAATGTATCTAGAGTGAGGCCATTTTGATGTGATAATTGGGATTTCAGTGGCACTGTCATACTTGATTAGCTGCCCTGCTCTGATTGAAAGTCATATAAGTTAATATACTTAAACAAAGAAGCTGTGTAAAATATAGATTGTATAATTAATGGAATGATAACACATCGGGATTACAGCATTCTTGATGGTAAGTCTCTGAGGACCAGAGTAAAATCATCTTCCTTGTTCGTTGTGTTTTTATTATAACTAATGTGTGAATACAGGCTTCAATGTTTAACATGTACACGAGGGAAGAAACAGGCCGGGACGAAAAGACAGATTGTGAAAGACGGACAGCTCAGAGGAAGATTTGTCAAAAGAAGCATGACTGAGAGAGAAGTGGATGTGAATATACGCTCTGTAAGCAGGTAGTCAAGATGCAGCGTGAAAAGATCACCGAGGCTCAATCTTCCCTGAGCACATAAAGGTTAAAAATTACTATCTCTCAACCCTGCCCCTCGCCTTCAATTACCCAGCACTGCAACATTACGGCCAAACAAAATGACTACCATTAGCCATAATCGCCTTACATGCAGCCTAATGCCGTGCTGAACTGGCCTGGGGAAAATAATTGCCCTTCAGTGACGCTGTGCAAAAACTACTTCCAGTGCAACCAGGGCTGTGGATGGAGATTGAGCTCTCTCACTCTGCCGCTGTGCAGGAGAACATTTGCTGCTCAAGTGTTTCAAGTGCAGAGCATCTTCAAAATATCAAGCAGAAGAAGAAAGTGGAATTTCACAGTGAGGACGACATGTGGATACTTTACAACAACATGCAACCTCCTCGTAAATTCTATACTTTAACAATCAGTGGAGCTCAGGTGGACAATTTGGTTCTCATCTGCAAAACAACGAGGGTTTTTATATCTTCTCTGAATCTTCTGTGCTCACACACACACCCTAATCCTTCCCTGCAAAATAGTAGAAACTATTGCAGCTCTCACTGTAGTTTCTGGGCTGCAGCTCCTGTCCCTGCTCTGGTAAAGTACTTTCCAACCATCCATCAACTTCTGAAAGCAGCATTTTCTGTAAACTGAAGAAGAAAAACCTGACTGCTGCACTTTGACTCAAAAGTGAAGGGGAACAATGTGTAAGTTAATGCTGTATAGTCGGACAAAGTGGACGACCATCACAAAGCGAAGAGCAGGTTCTTCATTCACAACTGAAATTCCCTTTTTTTTAGAGTGATACTGAAAAACCTTGTCAATGTGAACTGAGGTCAATAAATCTTTGTACTTCCTAATTAATTGTAGTACTTTCACATTTCTCCAGATCTCTCTTTAACATGCACCCGTCCAGTCGCAATTAATTACAAA